AGAAAATTTCTGATACACGCATGCTAAATATTCACAAAATACAAAAAAATTAAATTCAAAAGAGCAACATACACGACTATTTTCGTATTTGAATAAATATTTTCTTGGATGCAAAACCTGGGAAATAATTTTTTTGCACCGTTGGTGCGATACATCTCACAGAAACGAAGAAAGTAGGATTTTATTAACGAGAAAAGTATTTTAAACCCATATAGATTTTTTACGAAAATTGTCCACAAGAGAATGACAGCTAATATATTTTAGTTCGCGGGCCACAAAAAGGCTTCGTGGACTGGTTGCGGCCCCGGGCCTCCTGTTGGAAACCACTGAGTTAGACAGATTAGCCCTCACGGCTATTATAAGTACCCATCTGAGAGAAACTTAGTGACTTTATTTGGTGGGCCTAGTTGGTGTGATGAAATTCTGGTTGCTTGCCCATATTATGGGGAAGCTGTTAATAAACGGTTTTCTTCACAGTTAACAGTTTGAATACCATATTAGTTATGGTTATTTGACTGTTTTGTTTGAATATGGTACAATAACAATGAAATAAATTTCTATTTAGCCAATTTTTCTGAGAAATTTTAAATAGTGTAATTTACAAAAATATACGCAGCAGTTTTTATACTTTAATACATAAAAAACCTTAAAGAGTGAAAAATATATTTCAAACATTCTCAAATAATATTACTATGAATTCTAATATAACACTGTACTTTTCCTGGATCGTTTTATTTTTTAAACTTAAGATAATTAATTTGATACACATGAATAAATAAACATATCAAAAATTATCTCTTATTTCATAACTTTCACGTAGCATGCACACTGAAAAAAGGTATGACCAAAACTACCAGAATATTGTAAAGATTATCGAAATTTCTAGCCTCTATGGGAATACCAAAAAGAAAAGTAACTTATACCTAAGCGCTGTGGTAATGATTTTGGGAAAATTAACAAATTAACAGCAAAATTAAGTTTTATAAATAGTGATAAAATTTGGTAAATGTGCTAAAATTTGATAATTTTGTCTTGCTACCTTAAAGAAGGTTATAACCATTTATTCGCTTAAACTAATTTTTCTACCATATAAACGGAAACATTATCAAATGGAAGGTTTAAATACCGTATATTCTGATTTTTATTACCAAAATTATTGTTTCTTTTTACCAGAAATGTCCTTACCATACAGTAAGTTTATTCAACCAGATTTTTTTCTCTGCATACACTTTTAACAGTTATTTTTCTGTGGTTTTCAAACAATTACCTAATAGCTTGATACTTGAAACATTTCTAGAAAAACTCAATTGTAACTGTGTTTAAGGATAAATCGAAATGTCAAGTAAAGCCGACAGCACTGAAGTAACATTATTTTTTCTGTTAGAAATATTTTCGAATTTCGCATTGTTTCTAGTTTTAAAACTGTTATCTTTTGTCAATCAAAAGGATACTAAGATGCTTTAGGGTTTATGTTGGGTTGAAATTCTAAAAAATGAAAAGACCTACTCAAAATAAAAACTGCAACTCAAACATAAAATTCTCAATACTTTTCCTGAAAATTATCTGTTCCCATTCCTGAAAATCTTTTATTATTAAATAAAATCCGTACAGTAGTTATAAAATGAAGAGGCATAACTGAATTTAAATAGATTTTTTTTGTTAAATACGAGAAATTCGATATTTCTCCGAGGTCATTTTAAAATTACTGAGACATTTATGTGTTGTAAAACTCAAGTAAATTTCCGAAAACCATAGATTAAGGAAAATATTTTTCATTCCTTATTTCTCTACTTTGCCAAATTATTTTGTTTATAACTCAGTAATGAACCTTTAGTCTATTGGTTTAAGTTAATGTAAATATAGTTAAGCAGATTTTAACTAAGTTTGCAGCATTTGGTTGGAACATCGTTTTTCAATGCGAGTTTGACTAATTTGATTTAGTTTAACAAAGTTTAACAATATTGATGAAAAAATATATGAAGCAGAAAGTGTCTGATTTCGCGGCTTATAATCAGAAAATCTGTTATAATTTGTATAGAAATTAATTCATTAATTTAAAAGCCATCCCCAAACCATCCTGATTAATTTTTTTTACTTAATCAGGACTAATCTTGCCATTAGGACAAAAGTTTTCAGATATTCAGTTTTTTTTAATCTTTATTTTATTTTTAGCACTGTATACAATTCACACTGTGATGAATCATTGTGCAGGTTGATTCATTTAAGACGCATTAACAAACTTACATGTAAATATCATCATTGATAATCTAATTTTTTAAAAAAAATTTAGCATAATTTTTATAAAAGTTTCTTAGTTAATGAATATAAAAAAACGAATTCAAGAAATGAATTAAAAACAAATAAATATCATTTTATTGAGTAAATGAATATATAAAGGCAGATGTTTTTAAGTAGTCTTATTCCCTTTTTAGAACTATCTGAAAATAGCATTTTTAGAATGAGATATACCATTAAATGCAAGAGAAACTATAGAACCTCACGGAATCTGCATTTGTTTGGATTCGCTTCTCAAATTTTTGCTTGTGTATGGCGGCATAACAATATTGAATAGGTCAGAAATGAATTCTCAGTATACAGAATGAGGGAATGAATTCAATGCGAGAATCCTGACTAGTTATAAAAATACAAATAATACCATAGAATAATATTATTGAACATATTATTTGCTGCAAAAGTACCGGAAATTAAGGCATACAAATAATAAAAATATCCGAGTCTTTGAAGCACAATAAACTAGCACTTGTTAAGAGCATGTTTACAAAAATAGTTCATTCTGTATTAGACATCTCTAAAAGCACATAAATTTTTTGAAATTTGTTCAATTTTTATCATTTTATTTAGCATATTTTTAAGAACAAATGGCCATTTTTGCTTTAATTTCATTCACTAATTTTTAGGCAGAAAACATTCCTCCTTCAGTATTTATTTCTGTAAAAATGTTACAGTTGTTTATTTGAAATGCTAAAAAAAATATATGGAAAAATTTATGAAAAAAGTAAAGAAAAGAATTATAATTTGTTTATATTTTACTTATTTAATATAAATTTTTTTATAATATTAATATTTTATTAATAATATATTTTTTCATAAATTTGTCAGTCTGATTTGCTTTACGTAATAAATTAAGCAAAACACGTTTTTAGTAGCTCATCCCATCAAGATAAAGATTAACTGCATCCATTTGGCATAATGATGTTGCTCGAGATCAAGTCAAAATTTTTCAACAATCAAGTAATTTTCTCCAATACATGCACCGAGAAAGAAAGCATTGCCAAAGCTATCAAAATATGGCGAAATTTATTGCGTTTCTGGCTCAATAGGAATACCAAAACGCTCGGTAATTTTTAAAGAAGCACTTCTTTAATGATTTTCGTAAAATTAACAATAAAATATAGTTTTAAAATAAGTGATAATTTTAATTAATATGGTAAAATGTAGTAATTTTATCATAATATCTTAGAGCATTGCTTTAAAATATTGGGTGTACAAATAAATTCCAGCCGTTCATCACGAGATGGCAATACAAGAAGGTTATGTAGAAATTGACTGATATTGTAAGTTTGTAACCGTGTTATTGTAAGTTTGTTTATCTAGTAACAACATAAATTTAAAATATCAGTGATTTCGTATTAGCATTACATAATTGTTTTCGTGCAAAAATGTCAAGTTTTGTGCCAAATAAGCATAATTTGCTGGAACTTTAGATTTACTTCCTAAATTTGAAGAAATCTGCAGCTGAGGCACAACGATTGTTAGGAGAAGTCTATGGTGAGGTTGCTTTAAGTGAGAGAAGTTGGCGTGTATGGTTTCAGAAGTTTAAAAGCGGTGAGCAAGGAACGCAGTGGAAGNTGGAAGACAAAGAACGCAGTGGAAGGCCGAAATTGTACGAAGACAAGGAATTCGCAGAATTATTGGAAGAAAATTCATCCCAAGCGCAAAACGAACTTACTCTTTCATTACAAGTGACTCAGCAAGCAATTTCATACATACTCTTACACACTTTTCAGTTTTTGTATTTTAAACTAAATGTGTGGTAATAAAAAGTATAAATAAAGCCAGAATATTAAATAAACCGTTACCATATGAACGAAAAAATTACCAAACGAAGTGTTTAAATACTGTACACTTTGATTTTATATATATGTTACGGTGAAACACCGAAATCTGAAGAATGTCGACATTCACCGGTGATTGTCAACATTCACTTAGTCGCTTGGTGTATGTCCGAAATATTTGCTAAATACCCTTATTTCTGACTCTCACCGGTGAATGTCAACAATCACATAGTCGCTTTGGTGAATGTCCGAAATATTTGTTATATCCAATTTTATATTAATTTATTCGTTAATATTATTATATTTATTTGATATATTTATATTTATTCTATATTTTAATACTTACTGACGATAGATTAGAAGAAACATCAGTGTTTGGAGTATCGGGCAAATATATACCGGGCAATGGCACTTGACCTTAAAAAAACATCAGTGTAGGGTATACCGGGCAAATGTATACCGGGCAGTGGCACTTAACCTTAAAAAAACATCAGTGTATGGTATACCGGGCTGTGGCACTTAACCTTAAAAAAACATCAGTGTACGGCTAAAATATAGAATAAATGTAATTATATCCACGAATAAATTCATATCAAATCGAATGTAATAAATATTTCGGACATTCACCAAAGCATATCTGTGATTGTCGACATGCACCGGTGAGGGTCCGAATGTAAGAGAATGTAATGAAATATTCGATCTTTCACCGACGTATTTGGTGTTTGTCGACATTCACCGGTGAAAGTCAACAACCACCGATTTCGGTCTTTCGCTTTGACATATATACCAGAAATGCCTTTACAGTACGGTAATTTTACCAGAGTTTCTCCGTGTATGTGTCTCTGTTAGGCATTCTAATATGTAAGTCATGCTTTTAGATGTTTTATAAAGTGCCTTTACTAATGAATAAAATTTTTTTTCCAGGTAAATAAGAGAAGAACATTAAAAAAATGAATTATAATCAGAGATATTTTTATTTGCACTTTGTGTTTGTGAGCTCTTCATCATCATTGAAAAAGAACTGAAAAATAAAAGATGAAAGGGAATATTCCTAGTCATCGTCAAACAGCGATCATTTTGTTTTTTCCAAGTGCATTCTTTTAAATTATAAATGCTGGTTATGGCACACCATCATTTTCAATTATTAATAACAATGGAATATGTATTTTGAAAGTTTAGCATGTAACTTATATATTATAGATGTTATGTAGTTCTTATGGTTAATAAATATTAATTTAAAAAATATTGCGTATTTTTTTACATTTTAGTATTTTATTTTGTATTTGTATTAGATAAGTACAAATATGGGTGTTTTAAGTTTGATATTTTTTAACTTTTCTTTCGTGTTCACTCAATATCATTACTTTGATTCTCTTATAACTCCAGAACTGTTGGCTTTAAGGTTCTGAAATTTAAATATCGACTACGAAGAGTAATTTTTGCTCTCCACCTGAAAAACCGTTGAAAAATCTTAATCATACCTCTTGGAAATGTTTGAAAAATGATTTTTTCTGCATGAGTTAAACATCTGCCATTGTTACAAATAGAATTGTTAATAAATCTGTTTAAGATTTTATCACACGTTCTTCTATGTTTTTACAAGCTCAGTTATTAATGTGAATGTGTGGATCTATGCAATTTAGAATTTCTTTAGTTATCTGAAACCAATGTTCATTTTGTTTATAGTTATGTTTTTAAAACGTGTCTTTGAGGGAAAAAAGTAAGGGGCAGTTTTTTCAAAGATCAAATGAATCCTAAAAATAAATAACAGCAATTGAAAAACAACAATTCTTCTATGGGTTTGCATGAAAAAATAAGAAGTAAAAGGCAGCATGTAACATATGAAAATTGAGTTTATATAATCTTGCTAGTAAGCTAGTTTTCCTGGTATTAATTTCATTTTATATAAAGTTTATCTTAAAATATGTTGCAAAAATTTGTTTTAATTTTTCTTAAGAAAGCAGGTGAAAAGTAGGTGGTTTTCAAATAACAATAATACATCCAAATAAACCATTGTTTTTTCACCTGTTTTCGTTAAATTTTACTTTCGTAAGCATTTATATTTGCCTTTGCCACGATTATCAGTGGGTACATGTATGATGATACGTATTCCATGAGACTCTCTAAAACGCATTTTCGGCCTAAAAGATAAAAATAATTTTCTATTCACTCTGAATAAATGGTGTTCTAAGTAAAATCTGATGCGAAAAAAGAAAAGCCAAAAAGAAAAAAATTAAGTGCAACAACAGCTAATAATAAACGATTCGGAAAATATTAAAGAAAATGCTAATACATAAAAAATAACTTTTTGATTTTGTTAATAAGAATTTTTTTTCATATAAATTAATGAGTTCTTTAGTATACGAACTCGAAAGCGAGATGTTTATGTGGTTGTCGCCAGATATCACCACATGATATTCTATGGTGGAGGCATCTAGTGATAAAATAATCATTTAGTTGGATGGAAGCGAAACAATCTGCAATTGTGCATGTGTTAAGTCATGTGTTGTGCTTAGGCCTTTTGGATGGCTGGAATCTAACATGTTTGCGCGTTCAAAACACCGTGTATTGTCACATTTTACACTTTTATGATGAATGGTAATGCTATAGATTGTGACAGACGCATAGGTATTCAATAGGTTACACATTTACTCCCCATTTATCTGAAAAACCTCAAAATGTGAAATTTTTAGTCTATCAGAATAAATATGGGTGGGAACTATGGATTCGCATTGAATATTATTTAGTAAAAATGGTTTTACCCGGTGACAACGAGAGAGAAAAAATATCATTTAGAAACGAAAATTCAAGTAACTCGCGAAATGAAAGTAGTATGTTGCTCCGTAACTGTTGAAGATCGAGTTACAAAGTGATCATCTAGTTCAATTTTAATCACTTATTCTACCGGTTGGATATAAATGACAAAATAATTGGATAAGTTTTTGATACTTAAATGGGTATAAAACTGGATACCTGCAAGTGACGTCATCCTGGTTAAATAGTGGCATTTCCCACTAAGGTTCGACACACATGGCTTGACGTCGCTTACAGGTATCTAATTAAGTCTGATTTAAGTCACATGGTTAATCACTATCGCTTCACTTCTTATTGAGTTGTAAGTACCAAAATTTTATCATTTTCTTTCATTCGAATAACAATCAATTAAAATGTAGACGATTAAAATATGCTCTTATTGCATGCAATATTTATTTCAAAATCTATCTATTCGACATTTGAGTTAAAAAAAAAAAAAAAAAATCAATACAAAATATTGTCCTTTCCATTTTAGAATGTGAAACTTCAAAATCAACGAGAAGAAATTATATAAATGAGTTTGATCAATGAAGTAGTAAGTGCTAATGAGTAAAATAAGTAGCAAGCGTGATATTATTTGTAAGTGAGATTAGATTTCTGGATTTAATTTTTTTTCCTTATGACTACGGCTTTTTTTTAAATTACTATACTGGGAAGCTCCATCTCCTCGTTTCTTTGCTTGCTCAAATTTTTCAAGTAAAAAATATTAAATTATTAAAAGATAATTTGTGTGTAAAGTAAAATTAAGAATTTTGATTGAATTGTTATGCTTAAAATTGAATTGTAGTGATTAAAAAATATTACAATTGGTAAAGTATTACTAAATCGCAAAAATTTTGAAATAAAGCAAAAATAATTACAAAATGCTTACTGAAAAATCTTAGTAATGGTACACGGGGAAAACCTTCTGCCAAAATTACCGTACTGTATAGTAATGACATTTCTGATTAAAAAATATAATTTTGTTAATAAAAACCAAAAGATACGGTAATTTTTCCGTTTATATGATAACGTTTACCAAAAATTCTGATATTCGAAATTATAGTTCTTATTACCACACATTTAGTAAGAAATAAAAAAGTGTTATATTTAACCAAAATTATATTTAAACAAATAAAGGATTAAATAAATAAAGGAAATAAAGGATTTTCTAAGATTCTCTAAGCTATCATGATAGAATTACCAAATTTTACCGCATTTATTAAATTTTATAACACATAATGACACTAAATTTTGTTATACCATATTTCATGGAAAATTTAATCAAAATTATTACTAGAGCCCTTCAGTAAGAATTACCGAACTTATTGGTGTTTCCATATAGCTAGAAGCACGGTAAATTTTACCATATTCTGCAAGCTTCGACCATATTTTTTCTCAGAGTAATATGTACACAAATGGAAAATTTCTAAAATTTATTTAATTTTAAATTTCTTATAACTAGTTTAAGAGTTTTATAATACATTTTCCGTAATTGGTTAAAATTTCAGTATTTTCCGTAGTAAACTATTATAGTACACGTTTCTTTCAAATTTTGTCTTAAGAATAGTTTTTTTTGTGTCAAAATCAAAAATATGTAGTATTTTATGTACGGTTATAAATATTTTATCAATTTTTATCAGTATTAAAAAATTAATAACATTAAATTATTTTTAAGTTACAAGAGACAAAGAGGCTCGATGAGAATTGAAATAGCATTTCTATACACAATAAAAATGCAAAAATACAATGAAGTATTTAAATTGCACAGTAACAGTTAAATTATATTTTAGATTCAATTTTAAATTGTTAAAAAAACGGGAAGAAAATAATAATTATAAGCACTATATAACATTTTCTTTCAAAATTCATCACAATTGTTTAAGTCACATGTCACAAGTTCATTCGGAAATAAATTCATAATCCTCAAATAAATTATTCTACAAAATTCCACACAATAATATCTTTTGTCCTCAATATTTAGATTACAGTTTATACAAAAGTGTTATTTAGCTCAGAACATCGTCGAAACTTTTCTGCTTTATCGAAGAACCATAGTTGTATTTGACACTTAAGCTGGTTTTGGTACACACTAAATGCAAATTCGAGCATTGTGTGTTTCCCCACGAGCATTCTAGTTTTATTAAAAGGAAAGAGAAGACCTTGTTGCTTTCATAAAATTAAATATTTCGAAAGCTTTATGTAATTTGATCGTAGAGGAATTAATACGTGAAATTATTATTCCTTTAGAGCAACTCTGGAGCTGTTTATTTTAAATCAAATTTTGGTAAATACTTAGCTAAACCATCAGCTAAGAAACGTTTACATTAGCTCTGCGACTTTTCTTATTTGTAGTTTAAAAAGTATTATGCTATGTCGCTTAATACTTTTTACAAAAACATAGAAGTATTTGTAGCTGTTTTCATTTTATAAAACCGAAGTTATTATACATTGTAAAAAAAAAAATCTTGATTAATTTATTACCGTAAAAAATATTGGCAACTCTGGTGCCATATCAGTAAAATTCATTTTACCGTAAGATCCATTTTTATTACAAAATGTTAAACCGCAATTTTTACAGTGTATGTAATTACAATGATTCTTACAGTGTATGTAATTACAATTCAATGAACACCTGCCTATCCCGACTGGCCAGTGGACACCTGAAAAGTCTCACATTTTCTGCAAATCAAAAGATCTTTCCTCTTTGCCCTAAATGCCAACAAAACCAGGCATCACCTGAGCACATCTTGATCTGTTTAGGGCTGGACTGGAACGATATTCATTCCTCTCCCATTCTGGTTTCGGATTTTCTCAATGTAAACGGATTCATTGATCTGGTCTGACCCCGTCAGACCAGATGGGAATTAGCAACAACAGCAACAATGATTCTGATTTTATGGTGAATATTGGTGTTAAAATTACGGTATATCAGATTTTTTGTTCTGTAAAAGCTTACGGCAAAAATGGATTTCATGATAAAAAGCACCGGCACAAAAAATACTGGTATTATTTACTGTAACTTGATGCGGAAAGCAGTTTAAATTGGCAATTTACGCTTTTTAGCAAAATTTGTTTCTTGCCAGAGTAATTGGCAGAATCGCTAACAATATGATTTTTTTTTATTAATTCTGATTGAAAAATTAAATATAAATTGTTATGTCGAAATTAAAATTTAGAAAAAACTTAAACTTAATAAGTTTCTGCCATAAGTTTTAATATTAGTTCGCCAACCATCGCATTTTTTATGTCGTATAAGTTTTTTCGATTCGTTTTACTAAGGCAACCCTAAAGAAAATTTAAAAAAAAAAAAATTCACGCTATTAAACTTGGTGACCTAAAGCGCATTCGATTTCCTTTTCAAGTTCACATAAATTTCAAGATTAAAAAAAGAATCCCCGAAAACGTGCTGCTTATACACCGTTTTCGAAGTACTGAAATTGGACGACG